TTTCTTCCTTAAACAATGGCTGAACTAGGTTCCCTAATGATCAACAAGTACATGTTCGATTTGATGCAAAATTATCGTCCCATCACCATAAAAGGCATTTACTCTTGTTACATACCTTAATGAAGGAGGAAGCTCATTGACAAGGAGAAAAAGAGGCCATACTCCAAACTGCGAGGAATGGAATATAGCTACACCATCAGTGTTGAGCTTAAGAGAGAGATTTTATGGTTCTGACAAAAATCTGCCTGTACCAAATTTCCTCTGATAAACAGCACCATCGTACACATCTTCAATGTTTTCATCGTCTCTTTTTACTCGCTGAAATTTGTACCTTAGGCCTTGGTAGTGCGGGCCGCGGTAGCACTTGAGTTTATAAATTAGTTTACTACTTATTCATCGACTTCGGTGGGGTGGACAGCGGTAGCACTTTATTCTTTATCTTAACAAGTACATTTTATTTGCTATCCTAGCGCGGACTGCGGACCACAGGAGCACTCAATTTATAAAGGGCGTGAGTGGCCGGATAATCTGAAGTTGCTCCCTGATGTGTCTTGCATTTGCTCACCGCTAAACTCAGAACTGTTAACATCACAACAAAAGATAGAGTCATGACACATAATTATTTCCACGATTGTCGAACTCCTGGTCGTTGTTACCGCTCTGACAAATAGTTGGACAAGGATTCTTGTCAGCTTTAAGGAGGTTAACTCTACTACTTCTTCTACGTGCTGCTAATCGTGCTGGTTTGAATTTGTACGGATTATAGTGACGCATATATTCCTTATAGCGTCCCCGTCGTTTTGTTGCATCGTCCGCCATGCTTGCTTGTGAACCACTGGTCTCTTTTCCAGGATCCTCTCTCTGGAGAACCTGAAACGCATGCGTTAGCGATTTCTTTGGGATCACGTGGGCTATTTCAGCCAATAATCTAACGACGAAAGCGTCATGCGGAAGCGCGCTTTTTCGATTTTCACTTTACATTCCAACGTGCACGTGGACGCCCACGCTTGCTCTTCGATTAGAATTTGTGTTGTAGTTTTCACCTTTTGTGCTTTAAGTAGTAGCTCCAAAGGACAACTTACAATGGCTGAACGAAATTCGAGAAAAAGAAGCATTCCAGCACGTTTAAGAGAGGGTAAGTTGAAGTGAGAAAGTTGTGGAAACGAAAGTATTGCATGCAGCATGGTTGTTACGTGGTTGTTTCCTCTGGAGCCAAAACGAAGAAGGATCTAGAGACAATTGTTGAGGTATGTGAACCTTAGACAAACTACATGTACATGCATGGGATTAAATGACAGGTAATATTTCTTTCAGATGATGCCAATTTCCGAAATTTTATGAGTTTTGACCCGCAGTTGGATTTCATCTTCGAAAAAAAAATTTATTATCTATAGGGTCTGTAAAGTTAGTATTACCTGTGAGAAAACTCAAGGAATTTGTCGCGATTACCTGCTTGCGCTGGTTTTGTTATGCAGTCGAGAAAACTACTCTAAATTAAAAGCTCATTAAACGTGGCATGAATACGGGAGGACTAGCTCTGGTGAATTTTATGGCAAAATATGTTATGGCGAAAATGAATCGATCTACGTTTGGTTAGCCAAGAGTGGTCAAGGCCGAAGTCCAAATATTCTAAAATATCACGGGATCTCTCTTTTTTTTGTTTTTTTTTTTTGTTTTTTTTTTTGTTTTTAAATCCTTTACGCGATATTTGCTGTATCCTTACTCAAAATAGCGTTTTTACGAGCGTTTCTCTCGGAGAAACATTGGAAAATTGGTATGAAGAATATTTTTTGCCGTTTTTGAACAAATATAACAATACAATTGTAGTCTAGGCTATTAATTTTGTGTAGGAGTGTCACGACAGGTGTTTTAAAGTAATGCTGGGAAATTAATAGTTTATTACAAATGGTGTCTCCAGGCTGCTGTGATTTTAATATTTTGGGTTTGATAATCTAGTTTGCATGAAATAATATTATTTGTGAGGACAGAAAAACATAGATCTTATCAGAAATTTATAAAGTCATTGTTCTTTAATAGAAAGGTGCAACTGATTTACAAGTGATACATACAGTGTAAATCATGCAATGTAACGTTGGAACATATTTCTACATGTACCAATAAAATAAGTGTAAGATTTTAATTTTAATATCTAGCAAGAACAAATATGATTTGTGCCAAATAGAAAAGCAGTTCAATTACCCAACAGTGTTTATAATGTTGAATTGAGACATATATATACACCAAAGTGGAACAAAGGGGGAAACCTTACAGTGTCATTCCAAAGTCTCATTCAGAGTTTTCATTGGAAATATAATAACGGTGGTAGAAGTCAGTAGATTAAATTTAGTCTCAAAATTGAAAAAATAAAAGTAGTACACTCAGGTCACCAAAATTTTAGCAATTAAGAAAATATGTACAGTATACGTAAACTATGCACTGTAACCTGAACTTTCTCTGATATGTGATGGCTTTCAATGCACTATTTTATTACCAAAGCTGGAAACTGATTGTTAAGGGATATTAGTTAGCCATGTTAGTCAGAGAAATTTCATTTTGGTGTTGTAAAATTATAAAGCCAAAGTTATCACTCAACTGCCAACCAGAGCAAAACAAAAATCTTGAAGGAGCTAATGAGAACTCAATGTAACAACAAAAGAATTGCGCGAAGAGTGAGAACCACCCAAGTGAGCGTTGGTGGCAAATGGTTGTTTTCTTAATCAGATTTGTTGACTCAGAAGACAGAGCTAGTTCTCTTGACCAATCACATAGCAAAGTAAAAAAAAAAATTCTGTAACCTTGGTTACTGTCAGTACTTACATATAGTCTAATGAATTTTACTCTAATTAAAGTATTCCTTTGACTTCTAATATGGGAATTTTTTAGCTACTAAAGAATGATGTACATCCATGGGATATAGTGAGGTGTAAAAATTATAAAGGAAAGACATTTAAAGCCTGACTAGTAAACAATCATTTTTGGGAGGACATGCTGACCTCCTCCCTATGTATGCAAAGATGAGCCGAGGAAAGATGTTACAGACTTAAAAGATCAAGGGTGGAAATCGAATTGTGACGAAATTACCGGTACTGTTTATCTGGGGTGGGATATTAGGGCATCTTACAATCTAGCTTTAGGTTTGGTAAAAACCAAGGAAAGCAAAGTATAGCCAACTCATTGGTGAAAAAGTACAGCTCTTAAAACTAATGGAAGAGATCAATGAAATGAGTAATGACTGTGAAGATGCCAATTTTAGCAGCATATAATTACTATTAAATAACTGTGCTGGTACCAAAGGATTGCGGACAATGATAAGTAGGTACCCCATTCTAGATACCCTGGGTACAAATAAAGTCTGTATTCTCTGTCCCCATTAATGGATCCCCTAATGTACAGGGTGAAGTTAGATATTTTAGTATGCAGGTTACATTGTAAATTTTAGAAGAAACACTTGTACTGTAAATATGGAAAAGATATATTTCCTTTTTAGTATTCATGTTGTTAACAACACACCAGCAAATATTCGAAGACGTAAAGAAATTTGATATTCTTAAACTCTCAATGAACATGTAGTTGCCAGTGGTTTCTAGAACAAAGGTTAGACATAATACATTAAGAGCGGAACAGCTAATTAGAACGATCAAACAACATAGGAAACACAGATAACATAGGATGAAATGTGAAACAAGTGAAGATAGGAGACATCACCTGACGATTTAGGAATGCTGCGTTAAGAGAACTAACATTGCTCGACTTTTAACTAACAAAGTCCTTGCAAATTATAACCCGTGCAAATGTGGACCTATTTATACTATTATATGCTGGGAATGGGGCGAGGCGGGGGATTGGTTTCTACACGTGTATTTTTTTTTATTTTGACATTAATTATGTAGTGGGCTGCTCTGAAGATTCCAGTCTAGTAAGCTAATTAGCCAAATATACTGGGACTAACACAAAGTAACTTTGATTACATTTGTTTGACCTTTGAAATGTTAGTTTTTTTAACAAATGAATGTGATTTATTCTGCACTGTTGAAATTACTTGAATGCTGTTGTTAGTTAAATATTAAATGATATTGATTGAGGTTAGTCAACCAGTCATTTGCCTCTCAAGCTTGTCCATTTTTGGTGCCCTGGTTTGAATTTCAAACCACCTCAATTTACCAATCTGCTCCAGTTGTTGCATGTTCAACCATGTACACATTGAGTACTTATTCAGTTTTCCAATAAGGGAAGTAATTTATTGTTGTGTGCCACTTTGCCGTAGTCATAGTGGCAAAGTCGTCAATGGAGAGACGGTAAAACTTCACAGAATTCCAAGGGATAGTAAAGCTAGAAGAATTTGGATTGCTAGGCTCAGAAATGTGTGGCAAAATTTTTTTGCAAAGTCTGTTCTAGACTGGAGCTTTGCAGAATTTCCTGAAGTGAAAGAAAAATACTGGCTTAAAATTTTATTTCTAAAAGCAACAAATTGGGGTGCAAAAAATTGTGCCTGAAGATGGGTACGGGAGCCATTAGTGGCTCCTGGTGGGTACTATTTTCAAGTTCTATTCATTTGAAATAGATTATTTGCAACTATAACTGATAATAAGATTGGCAACTGGAAGCTGCTACTCAAACTCACTTTGAACCTAACAGCCTTACTATAAATGACTTTCTCTCCCTCCTTTTCTTTTTGTATAGTCTACAAATAAGTTCAAAATCCCTTTTCAGGTCACCATTTTTGGGGCCCCCTGCAGTGAGTTTACAGAAGCAGTGTTCAGACAATTTTGCAATAGTATACACTTCTGTTCTTTTTATTTTGCAGAGAAAAAAGAAAATTGATCATCCCTCCTCACCTAGGGTATGGAGCT